TTTTTTTTTTTTTTTTTTGTGATCAGCAAAGCATCATATGAAATATATTAGCAAAGGAGTATAAGAAATACTCCCAAAACAAAATACAGCCCTTGGAACACCAGGTACAAACCAAAAGCTACAACACTTAAGAAAACAGAACCTGCGAAAAAAGCTGCAGGAAAAACAACAGGAGAAGATACAAACTTAGCCGGACTGTGCAGCTTATGCCACCCTAAAAACCCAAACAATCAGGGCTCATACAGCAGGCGTACCTAGCAGATTAAGAACTTCCCCCCATCCTTTTATCTCGGTGGCGCAGCTTCCTTAGAGAATTGCTTCCTCATCCTTTTATGCCTTTTGACAGCCTTTGCACACTCCGTCGGACAGGATTGCCATTCATGAAAGGGAAAGACACAGCCATTCACTTTAGCCTTTAACCATAGAAAGGTTTTTACTTGCACCCTTTCCAGTAGATTTTCTGGGATTCCTTCATCTTCTCGAAAAACTTGGGCATTCCTTCTATACCATACATACCAAGCAACCACCAGAAATAGACATGAACCTATCTCCTTTCCTACTATTCTTCCCAACTCATATATGAAAAATTCTGCCACTCCCACCACTGTATTGGGTAGAACACTCTCCAATCCCCACCAATTCAACACCTCTACCCAAACTAACCACGTTTTATAACATATACAAAACAAATGGTTAGCCTCCTCCACTACTCCATTACAGAACTCACAGAACATACCTTCCTCCTGCAGCTGTACCCCTCTCTTTTGAAGATTTTCCTTTGTTGGAAGCCTATTTAAGCACAATCGCCACCTAAAAAAAGCCACTTTGGATGGCACCAACCTACACCAAATTAACTTACATATCTGGTCCTCTAAAGCACTTTCCATAGAGTCTAAAAAGACATAGGCTGTCTTGACCACATATTTGCCATCCATTTCATGCCTCCACTTCCACACATCCCGAACCCCCTCTTTTAGTTTGACACCCTCCAGTGCCTTTTCCAGCACCCCCTCCTCATCCTTCTCACGCCCTATAGTACCTCTCCTCCACTCAACATGCCAAGCCCATCTACCCTCATCCCATTTTCCCATATCCGAGACCTTTCCCTCCTTCTTTACGGCTAGAGCATACAATCTTGGGCATAAATCCCTAAGAGTTTTATCTCCAGCCCATCTCTCTTGCCAAAAGTCCACCTTATTTCCCTCACCCACTTCCCATTTGAAACCCTCTACTAACATATTCCTAAGTCTCGAAGATTGACCCCCTATTTTAATAATATCCCTCCACAGTTTTGACACCCTCGAATACTCAACCGCTGTAATATCCACCTCACTCCTACCTCCATAATATTTTTCCCTCACCACTCTTTTCCATAAGTTCTCAACCCCATCACCAAACCTATACCACCACTTTCCTAACAATGCTAAATTTTTCCTAAGCAGATCTGGCACCCCTAAGCCCCCCTTCACCTTATCACGACACACACAGTCCCACTTCACCCATGAAATTTTTTTATTTAGGCCCGGCCCTCCCCATAAAAATCTCCTTTGAATGCTCATCAACTCCACAAGAACAGACTTAGGTAATAAAAATAGGGACATATAAAAAATGGGCAAAGCAGAGAGTACCGAGT